ACGCCCCAGATATGTCTAAGCCCACTTATATCCGAGAGCAGTTTTGGGACATGGTAAAGCTGGTGTTGATGAAATGTAAGGAAAATGAAAATATTATTGTTAGGAGATTTTAATGGAAGGGTTGGGGTGAAGAGGTCTGGTTATGAAAGGATATTAGGATCGTTTTGGTGAAGACCTCCTCACCGTATGTGTAGAAAAGAATCTTTTTGTGGCGAGCACTTTCTTTGGCCATAAGAGGATTCACATGTATACATGGTTAAGAGGGGATGATAGAAGCATGATAGATTTTATAATTGTGGATGAAAGAATGAGGAGCGCAGTGGTAGATACAAGGGTTTACCGGGGTCCAACGTAGGGACGGATCATTACTTGGTCTTATGCCGAATTAATGGTCTATTCAGACGTTGGCGGCATCGGACATCTGTGTCTTCCACTGCGTTACTGCGTATAAGAATATAAAGATTACAAGATGAAAGTGTGAAAGAGAAGTATAAATGCAGACTGAGGGACAATATAACTGGGTTGAATGAATTATGTATGAATGACTTAGACTTGAAGAATATATGGAATAATATTAAGAAAGTTTTGGTGGATGCAGCCACCGAAGTGTGTGGTGTAAGTAAGAGAACGAATGAAAGGAAAAGTAATACGTTGTGGTGGGATCATGAGGTACGGATGGAAGTTAAAGCAAAGAAGAGAGCATGGCTAGATTTACTAGCAACTAAAGCTGGTAATTCTGGCAGTATGAATGATGATATTGAAACAAAAAAGGCAGACTTTAGACATATAAATAAGAGGGTAAAAGAAGTTGTTGAAAGGAAAAAGCAAGAAAGGATAGATAAAAATGATAGAAGGATATCTGATAACTTCCAGGCAAATATTAAAATGTTCTGGAAGCTCGTAAGAACTGCCAGGGGAAATTCAAAACAGCCTAGAATGAATGCTATACGAGAAGAGAATGGCTGCATGCTGAATGATGAAGTTTCGATTTTAAAGAGATGGAAGGAATACTTTGAAAGCCTGTTTAAGAGTGAAGAGTCGTCTGAAGTAAGTGAAATAGAAATTCCAGAAGAAGTGGAGAGAGGTAGGGAGATAAATGTAGATGAAATAATGAAAGCAATGAAAAGCATGATAGCAGGTAAGGCAGCCGGATATGATAGAATATCACTCGAAATGCTAAGGGCTGGAGAGGGTGTGGTTGCAGGCCTGCTGTACACCTTGTTTAATTTATGTTGGGAACTGAAGCGGGTACCGGAAGACTGGTGCAAAGCCGTTATAGTCCCAATATATAAGGGAAAGGGCTCGTAGCAGGACTGTAAAAACTACCGTGGTATCAGCTTGCTTAGCATTGTGGGTAAACTGTATGCTAAGGTGTTAATTGAAAGAGTTATGGAAGAAACTGATGGAAAAATTTGAGATGTGCAAGATGAATTTAGAAAGGGAATGGGGTGTACGGATCAAGTCTCTTCCATGCGCATGATAGCGGAGAAGTTTTTGGCCAAAAACCAGAAAGTTTTTTGTGCGTTCATGGACTTGGAAAAGGCTTATGACAGAGTGGACAGGAATGTGTTATGGCAAACACTGAACTCGTTAGGATTGAGCACTGGCTTGATACAGGCATTAAGGTCTCTTTATAAGGACTCTAGTGCTTGTGTCAGGATCAACGGGGTCTACTCGGACTGGTTTGGCATTCATAAAGGTGTCTGACAGGGATGTGTGGCTTCCCCGTGGCTGTTTAACCAATATATGGACAGTTGTTTGCAAACTTTGAAAGTTGAAGAATGTGGGTTGAGAATGGGTGAGTCAACCGTCAAATGCCTTTTGTACGCCGATGATCAAGTCATATTTGCATCGTCGGCGGCCGAGTTACAAATGATGGTTACTTTAATAAAATGGTCATTGAAAGAAAGGGGTATGAAAGTGAACGCAAGTAAGACGAAAGTGATGGTTTTTGAAAGAGAAGAAAGTAAAACGTTATGTGAAATAAGAATAGAAGGGGAGTATGATTGAACAAGTGGATGAGTTTGTATATTTGGGATGTTTATTTAGCAGGGATGGTAGATATGATAAGGGTATAAAACGACGAGTGAACGCAGAAAAATGGAGTGAATGGGGCTCTACACGCTATTATGAGGAGTCAGAATGTGTCAAATAAGGCACGTATGGCAATTCATAATGCTGTGTTAGTCCCTACTTTAATGTATGGTAGTGAAAGTTGGGTCAGGCAGAAGAAGCATGAGAGTAGAATAACTGCTATAGAAATGCGGTCCTTAAGGAGTATGCTAGGGCTGAATTTGAATGACAAGGTAAGAAATAGTGTGATAAGAGAAAAAAGTGGTTTGCAAGATGACGTTGTGACAAGGATTAAGAATGGAATGCTTCGGTGGTTTGGTCATGTAGAAAGAATGATCGAGGAAAGAGTGACAAAGCAAATTTATTTTGCAGAAGTGAACGGCAGGGTCGGGAAGAGACGCCCTAGACGAAGAGAAGGTTTATCGACCTTCTAATCTAGATAAAAAATGGTCTATATTAGGAGTACCCTTAACCGACGAGCGTGTATGCGTAGATATATGGATGTAAAGGAGGCGAGAGAGGTATGTCAGGAACGCGCCAAATGGAAGTCCGTAGTCTTTGCCTACCCCTCTGGGTGACAGGCGTGAGTGTTTATGTATGTAGTCACCTTGGCAAAATGGCATATTGACCATTCAATATAATAATACCATTATATATCTCATTAGCAGAATCCATAATATCGTATGGTCTTTCTAGCTATAGTAGGACCTATAAAACACACCTAGACCGAATGATTTCTTATATTTACGCGAACACTACACATTGAATTAAACTGTTTTTTACGGATTTTTTCGCGTTTATTTTACTATTTTTATTCCCGACGTTTCGAGTGCTTTACAGCGACCCATGGTCACAGGGGGGACTGAGATGTTTGACGTCCTGATGTCACAGTTAGCCCGGCTACCTTCAGTTTTTTAATATAAATTTTTGGTTCCATTTACGCAGAATGAACTTACAGTATCTTGAAGTCTTGCAGTGGTATGCTTGGGTTTGGATTTAATTTTGTTAATTATAGGATCCCAAGCAGATGGCAACACCCATCAATCTTCTCTATTGAAATTAGGATGTTTTTTAATTTCAATAGCCTCGCGTATCATCCTTGGTAGGAATCGGTGTTCTTTTGCGAGGATTTGTGGTCTATCAAATTTGATGTAATGGTGGGGACGATCTTGAACACGTTTACAGACTGCAGAGTACTGTAAAGCACTCGAAACGTCGGGAATAAAAATAGTCAAATAAACGCGATAAAATCCGTAAAAACAGTTTTATCAACACCTAGACCGAATTTACACCTTATAACTCCGTATTTTATAAATAGTACCGAAAACTGCCATTAAATAATTTAAAGGCCTACAACATTATTATCGACATTAATATCTTTTATTTCTGTAAAATACTGCCTGTATGTAATAGAGTATATATTACTTATTGAAAATTTCTTTAATAAAAATCTAAAAATTCCAATAGAATATAATTTTAACCAAAGACACCAAACATAGCTTTACCAAAATTCATAAATGTATATGAAAAACGATTAAAACGACATGATTCCCGATATCATAAACAAACTTCCTTCGCAACTAAAAAACAACAAATTAATAAACGCAACATCAAAAATATATTAAAGAATTACTTGTTATGTAACCTATAATAAAAAATATTGTAAAATAAAAAATAAAAATTGCACATTAAATGATTTATACATTAATATTCTACAACGCTACTATTAATATAAAATACATTTACCTTTAATATAATTAATTAGTATCAAAGTATATGAACAGCCTATATATGCGAACTCGACGCGTCAAGGCAGGTAGGCAAAGGACGCCAATAAGAACCGAGAGCAAACCGGTTCAATCCGTGCATCACAACATTATCATGCATGACATAATTATTAGGTATAATAATTATTATGATATGTTTGTTAATGGCATCGTTATACAGTAAAGCTGTATAGCTTATGTTTATACCGTAAAATAGCAAAAAAAAAATTCTGAATATAACCAAATATAGGCTTGGTCCGTCAAATTTTTAATTATTTCTTGCATCGCGAAGGGGTTGCAATCTAGTAAAGTGGCATCCCACAATTTTGTGAGATCTAGAATATGAAAAAATATGAGAAATCTCACACTAGCTAGCGGACCTGTGCGCGGATTCGTAAACTCACGAATCGCAAAGAAAAAAGAAAGAGGATTTGCCTTAATCGTCATTCTTGATAGACCAATTGACGATCAAAATTCCAAACTTCTCGCATCTTCAACGACGCTGCCCTTCGCCGGTCTGGGTATTTTAGGTCTGGAGTAAACGAGATGGTTATAATGTTATTTATCGTAAATACTCGTATAATATACATTACATGTTTACCACTTACGACTACCACGTGACGAAAGGGGACGGCACATTATTTTACGTTACTTAATAATTATTTGATACTTTAATTGATACATCAGTGCTTGACCACTATACCCCACCTGATGGTATTATAAGGTGTGTAATAAAGATTAAATAAAGAAAAAATATCAGGCCGGAATAACAATAACAAATTAAAACTGTGTTATATATAAATATACTATAAAAATAATAATTGTAAGTGAAATATTTAGAAAAACCGTTATCCCCTCATGTGCTCGACCATTTTATGTTTTTACGCTTCTAGTGTCAGGGGCCATTCGAGAGGTCACGCGATACCGGTAGGCGCTAATGTAAACAATGGTATATTTTTAATTTTGTATCCCAGCTATATATAAAAATTATACGCATCGATTCGTTATGAATTTAGATATTCGATTCTAGTTTATAAATATTAAATTCAATTTTTATAATATTATCAATCTCATTTCACAATTGTGTGATATGATTTTGCCGGTTCCTTGTACATAAAGTGCAAGGATTATGAAATTACAAACTTTAGTTTGATTACATACCTGTTTAAAGTCACCATCAAATTAGCTGCAAAAGTAGCTGTTTTAGATGATCTCCACTTCCTTTCAGGATTCCTAAAAGTACCATTAAGAGGTATTTCATCTTTAAATAATCCAAGAGCAGAGTATACCATATCCATCATAGTAGCGTGAGTGAAATATACAGTAAGCTTCTTTCCTTTACCGTTTTTCGCTGTCTTAAATCTTTCTAGCAAGTCTGCTAGGGGAATACGTCCAAATATTTCATTGATTGGATTACCATAACTATTTCTAAAAAAATGCCTCAAGTCGCCTACGTACTCTAAAGCTTGTATGTCTTCTTTAGTGAAAATTGCGCACCAAGGACTAAGTGTGTTGTTTAAGCCTGAAGAAGTATAGCGGCATAAATCATATAAGCCTGTAATATTCTTGTTTGTCAACGTAAAATCCATTCCCGTTCGTTGTTGTATTCTTTTTTTTACCTAGAATTAATTATGATATAATTAGATTATTTTTAAATTGCTGCGTGTTCGACGAAAATGGAAATATCATTAATTAATTTATAATGATAATATTAATTTAACTTAACTGATTATTGAACGCATACCTTAAATTTTCTAAATGGACGTATGTATACTTACAAAATAAGCAAGGAAAACTTACTGCAAGGTATTCTGAGGTATTTTTATACTTATTTTCTTCTAAGTATGTTTTCATATTATTTTTAACTTCTTTTACGTAGAAACTACAAGCTTCATAGGGCTAAAATTTAATAGGCAAAATAATAAGTTACGACAACGCAAATATATTAATAAATAGAAAAACGATTTTCTGTATTTTTTACCTACAGCCATTATGTCATAGTCGGCGTTTGATTTTTCAATTATCATTGACGTATTTCCGAAACCTTCCACAAATGCTTTAACGCCGTTTTCTATCCAAGCTCCATATGCTGAACGTAGCTTGTAATCTTTATCATCCAAGGACTTAAGTAAATCTTTAAATGCTTTTCTTATTCTGTATCCTATTCCAAATATTTCTTGATAGCCTTCATCGGCAATTTGGTGGACATTTTGAAACAATTTTGGATCTGCTTCCCAATTATATAAATTTTCTACATCTTGAGCACACATAGAGCCTTTGCCATTTTCATGGTTAAATTTGATAGTGTATTTCATTGTTGTTGCATCTAACATATTCTGTACATAATCAATACCAGGGTTTCTTTTTCCATGTCTTACTAAACTCCAGACACTAATTGCATAACACCCTACCAATATTATGAAAATATAAATTACTGGTTTTAAATGGCTTAGCTATTTAAATTTTCATGTTGAATTACCGAAAAAAAAGGAATAATCGAAATTACTTACCCTTTATTTTAACAAATGAATCTCTGATATCTCCTCTGACAAATTCGTATGGTGTTTTGCTTGAAAAATATTTATAATGACAATTTTCGCTCCAGTAACAATTTGATATTGACAACTTTATAATAGTAAATACTGTGGATAATATTGCTATAATTTTCATTTTAACTAAATGGAAGCAATTTTTTAAAATATGTATAATCTTAACACAAGTTATAGCTTTTATGAACTCAACAAGCAACTAAATAAAAATCATTATCGCTTCGTGTATATAAACTGTATCTAACCATTACCGGTTTCAGCAGGAAAGTATATTCCATAAATATGAATACAATTTTTTTGTATAGGCAACTTTTTAAATACAAACTTTTTTAAATAGAATTTGAGAGTGATAAAAAAGTAACAGTCCACCTGTGTGTGACGGTTTTTTTTTATAGAAGAGGGGGCAAACGAGCATGCGGCTCACCTAATGGTAAGTGACTACTGCCGCCCATGAACAACTGCAACACCAGGGGAATTGCAGATGCGTTGCCGGCCTTTTAGAAAGGTGTAAGCTCTTTCTTTGAAGGTTCCTAAGTCGTATCGGTCCGGAAAATTCGCTGGTGGTAATTGATTCCACAAAGAAGTTGTGCGAGGTAGAAAACTTCTTCTAAATCGCACAGTGCTGGACCGCCAATCATACAGATGGTATGGATGGTAACGCAAGTTATCGCGATGTGCGATGGTGAAATTGAGCGGCTGGAATTAGTCCGAACAATTCCTCAGAGCACTCCCCGTGATAGATGCGATAAAATACGCAAAGAGATGCCACATCTCTACGCAGTGCCAGTGTATCGAGCCGATCAGAAAGAATTCGGTCGTCGACGATATGAACCGCTCTGCGCTGGATGCGGTCAAGTGGAAGGAGCTGGCACTAGAGTGCCCCGGCCCAGAGATGAGAACAATATTCCATGTGGGGCCGAACTTGCGCTTTGTAAAGTTGCAAGCGATGTGCCGGCATGAAATACTGTCTCGCTCTGCTGAGCACGCCAAGCTTTTTAGAGGCCAATTTGGCCTTCCCTTCCAAGTGACCATGAAACTGCACACTATTCGATATGTCGACGCCAAGGATTCCGATACTAGCTGAGGCAGCAAGGGGAGTGCATTGAAACTGAGGAGATACGACAAAGGGGTTCTTTTTAGCGGTAAACGCGCAAACTTGTATCTTCTGGGGATTGAACTGGACTAGATTTAGTCGGCCCCAATCCGAGACTTTGTTAAGCAAGACACAAGTTTGTCCCGGTATTCGGCGACGTTTTCCCGAGAAATATTGGCACGGCCGGTATATAAGGCATCACCAGTGCTGTCGTCCGCATAGCAATGAATGCTACCAGTTAGCAACATATCATTGATATGCAGGAGAAACAGCGTTGGTGATAGCACGCAGCCTTGTGGAACACCAGCGTTAATAGGATTGAAATCAGAGCATGCACCGTCTACTACAACCTTGATACTCCGATCAGCAAGGAAACTGGTGATCCATTTGCACAATTTCTCGGGAAGCCCATCAGTAAGTAGTTAATGTAGCAAATGGGTTACTGAAACTTTCAACTACGGAACCAATAATGTATAGTCAAGACTAAGATTATATATAACACGTAGCCTGTAATTATATTGACTCAACCTTATCCTTCAAACAGGAACACAAGGCTGGATGCACTTCTAACGTCAATAACATTTAGGCACTGCTTTTTAGTTAATTTTTTTTTTATTACACTGGTAATACTAATAAAACTATTCAAAGATGCGCCAGTTGGCATGCTAAGTTGGAAGAAATCACTAGCTGTTTTTCAATATTTTTCTGTCAATTGATATTAATTTGCTTTTGGTAAAACTAAAGTAACATAACGGACCTAAAAGCAGGGTATTTACATAAGCGACTTTATAGGAAGTGTGTGTGTGTGTGTGTGCGTGCGTGTGCGTGTGCGTGCGTGCGTGCCCGCGCGTGCACGTTTGTGTGTGTGTGCGTGCGCGTGTGTGTGTGCGTGCGTGTGCGTGTGCGTGCGTGCGTGCCCGCGCGCGTGTGTGTGTGTGTGTGTGTGTGTGTGCGTGTGTGAGTGTGCGCGCGTGTGTGTGCGTGTGTGGGTGTGTGTGCGCGCGTGCGTGCGTGTGTGTGTGTGAGTGCGCGTACGTGCGTGCGTGCATGTGTGCGTGTGTGTGTGTGTGTGTGCGTGCGAGCGTGCGTGCGCGTATGTGAGTGAGAGTGCGTGTGTGTGCATGTGTGTGCTTGTGCGTGGGTGCGTGTGTGTGTGTGTGTGTGTGTGTGTGTGTGTGTGTGTGTGTGTGTGAGAAAGAGAGAGTGAGTGTGTGCATACATGATCTTAATTTTTTAAATTTGTATGATTGTTTTGATGGCCTGAATTAATTATGATTACAATTACATTTACAAATTAGAGGTTAATAGACATTCAGTAGCTTCATAGTCACAAGTTTTCAGCCAATAAATTATTTTACTTTTGATTTGATGGTTGTTGTAGCTCTTACTAACATAAATTTTATTAAATCTATTGTATAGTAATGGTGCAAGGTAATAAAATTGTCGTTTGGCAAAAGCGCTATGTATTCTAGGGACTAAGTATTTATCTACTTTATTTCTTCTATTATAGTTTTTAATGTCAAGTTTATTGGGTAAAGAGTACCTATGGAATCGTCTGATACATTGGTATATAAATAATTTTCTTACACTAAGTACCTGTGCTTTTTCATACACCAGTGTTGTGGGATACCTATACGGAAGAAAAAGTAACACTTTGAGCACAATACGTTGTGCTCTTTCAACATCTATTAGGTACTTTTTGCTTGCCCCACCCCATGAACAGATCCCATAGGTAATGACTGATTGACAAAGCGCATTGAAAGTTTGTATCAGTAATTTAAAATCTGCCACCTGACGCAGTGACTTAAAAACATATAATAGTTTCCTTATTCTGTTTGACATGATTTTGACATGTGGAGCCCAATGCAAATTTTCATCGACAGTGATCCCTAAATATTTCACAGTTTTGGGCCTGTTATGTTTTGGGCAATCGCAAGGGGTATGTGGTTGTCTTTATTTGAGTGCAGTTGTAATCCAGGATCGCTCAAAGGATTTGAGACACTAGTTTTGCTAAAACAGATGTGTGTGCTTTTAGAAGCGTTAAGTGAAAGAAGATTATCTTCGAGCCAATTTGCCACTTCACGTAACCCCTTTTCAGCCAATTGGTTGGTTTTTTCCCATGGAATAGAATTACTGTGTCATCCGCATACATGGTTATGGCTGCTCGTTCAAGATCTTGTTCGGCTAACTGATATATATATATATATATATATATATATATATATATACTAAGAAAAGGGTTGGTCCAAGTGTGCTGCCTTGTGGGACACCACATGAGACATATTTATCAACTTTGACACACTGAGTCCTCCCAGTTAAGTAAGTTCCAAAACATGACAGAACTACACCTCGGACACCCACATTTTGTAATCGAGTCAACAAAATTGGTATTGAGACGGTATCGAAAGCTTTCTGCAAGTCAATAAATACACCCATACATTTATCGCCTTCATCTAAATGTTGAGTAATGTATTCTGTAAGCTTAAGAAGAGAATCTTCGGTGGATTTGTTAGGTCTGAATCCGAACTGATTTTTTGAAATATAGCTATTTGACTCTAAATAGTTTGTTAATCTTTTATTTACAAATTTTTCGATTACTTTGGATTAAACACATAAGAGCGAAATGGGTCTATAATTAGATATTAAATATTTGTCACCTGATTTGTGAATTGGGATAACTATTGACTTTTTGAGCGTAGTTGGGAAAATACCCGTAATAAAACTAGTGTTGCAAAGATATGAAATAGGTTCTGCTAGGATTTCTTGAAAATATTTTAGTACATTAGTACTAAAATATTTTCAAGAATGATTGGTATTCCATCCCACCCTGAAGCACTGCTATTTTTAAGGCTACTAATAATACTTCGATCCACTTCAATCGTGACATCGATTGAAGTGGGGCCTTGTATAATTCGATGACAGCAAAGTAAAAACGGACATCTACAAAATCGCAATTTTACAGGAGAGCAGATTTAGTAAAAAATTGTGGTCATTTTGAGAGTTATGGACCGATTAACATTAAATTTTCTATGAAGCATTAAAATAGCATTCTTTATGAATTATGTAATAGTTTTTGTCGCTATGTCGTTGTTTTACTAAAATAATTTAGATGTCTTTTTTTAACTTTAAAAACTTTGACGTAGAAGAAGACATCTGCCTGATATCCGTTTATACGTTGTGATAAAAAGGCATCCATTTCATTTAAAATATGTAATAAACTAAGATAATAATCTACATTAATACTTTTAAGGACATTTAAAGAAAATCCAAGCAACAGTATTCTCCTTTCTTTGACGAAATTTCACAGATGTCTTTATTTACTTTGCATTTAATATTTTATACATTATCAATTAATGAGTTACTTGCCAGGCGGACAAATTCAAATGTCCGTTTCTACAACGATGTTTTTTTAAAGTCGAGGGTAGATGTCTTCATTTACGTGCCAGATTTTCTTCATTATTTTGAAATTTGAAATAATTTTAATACAGACTGTAGATAGGGTTGATTTAAGCTCATTTTTTAAAAAAAAAAGCATTTTCATAAAAAGGTAGATGTCCGTTTCTACTTTGCTGCCATCGAATTTATTGGCTTTACAAGCTAAGGATGATTCCTTTTCATTTTTTATTGTTCAGAATACTATGAGCTAATTCACCACCAATGGAGGTAAAGTACTCATTTACTTTGTTTAGGGACGAGTAGGGATTATTTTCTTTGTTCAATAATTCTGTAGATACTGATTTATTTACTTTTAAATTACTAATTTCTTTTATTATTTGCCATGTTCTTTTTGCGTGACCGATGGATTTAGTCAGCTGTAATTGGTAGTAATTACGTTTTAGATTTTTTAACATAGAGTTACAGATGTTTCTATAAATTATGATAGTCATCATCTCCCGATTTCTTTAGGATTTTATATAATTTGTCTCAATTGCGTATACATTTGATTACATTTGGAGTTAGCCAATGCTTTAAGGCCTTAACAGTGGTTGAAATGCCTAAATCAAGGATATTTAAGTAAAAAAATCTCA